ACCTTAAACCCCAAACCCTAAAACCGCAGGCACGTAAAGTACGGCATTTCGCGAGCAAGAAACATGGAGCGAACCGCGCAAGTCAGCCCGTCATCGCAAGGGTTGAAGAAGGAAGAGCCGGCGTACCCTAAGCCGTAAACGAACCCTGAACCCGGAACTCTGGACCCCTAAACCCCTTCGGGGTTTAGGGTTTAGGGAAGTTCGGATCCCACGGTCCCTCCAGCTTCGAAAATAACCCGAAACAGCCCAAAACTCTAAACCCTATTAGAACCCAAAGCTAATACACTAAGTCCCAAACTTTCCCTAGACCCTAAGCCCTAAGCCCTAAACCCTAAACCGGGCCCTGAGCTCCCTGTAAGGGTTCCTCTATGGCTTCATGCAGCACGCTGGCTCAAGGTTCCTCAAATGTTCCTCGAAGGGACGCGATGCTCTCAGACCCCGGGACACACGTCGGAAGACTTGGTAATGTAGGGTTTAGGGTTTAGGGTTTAGGGTTTAGGGTATCGCGTCACAGTCTTTTAGTCGTATTTAAAACAGCAGTATCATCGCACACCCTCAAAAAAGCAAGACATGCTGACTGTGAAGGCCCCGAACCCTAAACCCTAAACCCTAGACCCTAAACCCTGAACCCTGAACCCTAAACCCTAAACCCTAAACCCTAACTTAAGCTTCTCGGAAGACCTCAAAGCAGGAAGAGCAAGACGCTGATCCCTAAACCCTACTGCAGGGGCCTTAATAATTAGAACAGGGTTTTTGGGGCCCATTATACTATACATATAGTAAGGAACCCCCAAAAAAAGTACAATGGTATTCATTAAGGCCCGCATAGTAAATCCTGAACCCAAGCCCAAGACCCGGATCCTTAAGCTTGAAAGCTTCCCTGCTCCTTGAGCCCAATATAGGGGCCTGAACACTTAGAATGATGCTGGGGGTATTCCACGGTTTAGGGTTTAGGGCTTAGGGTTTAAGGTTAGAGAATAAAAAATGGGCATCAAAACCATCATCATGCTGATAAGCATAGTCACAGTCATAACGTTGTTAAACATACTGGTAAGAACGAAATAACTGTGGTAATAATGGCATTGATAATCAGAAGGATGCCTTTACAAAGTAGCCAGACGTCTGTGTATGTCTTCGAAACATCCAGCGCCCTTTTTCCCACGAGTGAGCGCAAGCGTCAGCCGTCTGGGGCATTGAGAAGGGCTTTGGGCTTCAAGGTGTATCTTTGGAACGCCCCCTCAACCCTAAACCCTCAACCCTAAACCCTAAACCTCCATGGAATCAGCACACTCCAAACTCTTATGGTTGGTGTTCAGGGTTCGGGTGCCGAAGGCACGGCCTACACCCTAAACCCCTAAACCCTAAACCCTGAACCCTTATTAAGGCCCCTATTACTACCAGATGCTCCCTAAACCCTACCCTGAACCCTGAACCCGTATTGGGGCCCCTATTATTACCCTACGTATCTACTATAAAGGTACATGGAGCCTTAGGGTTACTACCAGATGCTCACTCGAGCCAGGCTTCCGGCGACCAGGACGCCCAGCATCCAAACGCTGGCGCCGACTGCAGCGATGCCGAGCAGGATCGCCCCGGCTGTGGTTTGCTTTGACCTGAGGTTCGAGCTCGGCTTTAGGGTTTAGGGTTTAGGGTTTAGGGTTTAGGGCTTATAGGGCTTATGGGGCTTGTGGGGTTTTATAGGGCTTATAGGGCAAAGGGCTTAGGCCAAAAAAAACACAAGATAAGCACTGCACTGCAAACCCTGCGACGCTCCGTGGAGAAGATGGCTTAAACTCTGGTTGGCGAATTCTGAAACTCATGCGGAAAAATAAATTGAAACAACCTCAAGCCATAAACCCCTAAACCCAAAGCCTGCAAGCAAAACCCCCTCCGACGACCCAAAGCCCTACACCCAAAAGCCTGCATAAACCCCTTCCAAGCCAATGTCAAAGCCTGATGAATCGCCTGCGAATGAGAAACGCAGTTAAAGAGGTCAAAAACACGCACATATGCGCAGATAAGACCGATGCAACCATACCTTACAGCCCCCTAAACCCTAAAGCTTAGTCGAAACCCTAAACCGTAGCCTAAACCCTAAGACCAAATTTAAAGGAAACTACAGGTGGGGAGTTTAGGGTATATAGGGCTTCTATAAGGCTACCATAAGGTATACAGACCTTCTATAAGGCTCCTATAACGGTAACTACCCACCTGAAAATGTCCTGGACTAAACCCTAAAATCGCCGGCTCGCCAGCCCATTCGGGTAGAAATCTTCTCCATCGTGCGATCCAAGACCGGGCTCATCGCCACAATTACGGCCCACCTGGTTTAGGGGTTTAGGGCTTTAGGGCTTAAAGGGTTTAGGGTTTAGGGTGTAGAGTTTTGGGTTTAGGATTTCGGGTTTAGGGTTTAGGGTTCAGGGTATAGGGTTGAGGGTTTAAAGTTTGGGCCCGCCTCCATTTGGGCAGCTCTCTAATTTGGGGTCCTTTTGGATCCATTCTTAAAAAAGGTGCCGTACTAGTTTGGGACCTAAACCCTAAACCCTAAACCCTAAAGAAAAGAAGCCCAATTTAGGGAGCCACCCTTTTTCAGGTTCCCGCGTCACCCCTTCTTAACAGTCGGAGCTGAAGGCTCAAGTTTTACAGCCACAGTTTACGGTTTAGGTTTTAGGGTTTAGGGTTTAGGGGCTGAAAGTTTCATGTAGGGGACTAAATAATTAGAATAGGTTTTTTTGGGTATACTGTACTATAATTAGAATAAGTGATAACCCAAAATCATATAGGTTACTATTAAGGCCCCTACATTGGGTAAGGATTGAGGGTTTAGGGAAACCAAAAATTTGAACAGCCCACTTCGCAGGCTGCAGCGGCGTGCTGGCGACATAGACCTTAGTTTCCCCAATAAGCCAGGGAAATAAAAGGTTAAACTTTCAGATTACTACAAAAGTGTAAGAACCCAAAAAGTTTGAAGGTTGAGTACTGGGGAGCCAACATTATACTATAAAAATAATTAGGAACCCCCAAAACAGTATAGGTAATTATTTAGGCCCCTGTATTAAAGGTTGGGTCTTGCGGAACTAAGAGACGGCTGCATAGGTAGCCAAGAAGGTTGGCCACTTCTGCAAGGGCGACACGCCCAACCTCTCGCAGGGAGGGTCGGGAGCTGCTGTGCTTGCACAACGACGGCGACGACCACGACAACTTTAGGGTTTAGGGTTCTCTAGGGTTTAGGGTTTTAGGGTTTTAGGGTTTTAGGGTTTTAGGGTTTTAGGGTTTTAGGGTTTTAGGGTTTAGGGTTTAGGGTTTGAGGCTTGAGGGTTTAGGGTTTAGACATCTCAACTAAATACTATCAGCATCACCTGAAGAGCATCATTCCTGCCTCTCTGAAGTTTTTTTAGGCTCCAGGACCTCGACTGCTTTTCCTAAGCATGGTACTTCTTCGAAGATCGAAACCCGCGGATTCCCCGCAAGACTGGGTTGCTGTTAAAGATCTTACCGTAAGTCAAGCTACTATAATAAGCAAACCCTATTACTTACTCAACCTAAACCCTAAACCCTAAACGATCCTAAACCCTGAGCCCATTACTATATATCCCCGAAATGGTATCTTGAATGAAATTCCGTAGCAGCAACCCAGAAGAGCCTCTTCGCCGTCAGATACCAGGCCACAGCGTTGATGATGGCATGCTTCAGGAACTTAAGAAGCAAGTAGCCTTCTTGTTTAGGGTTTAGGGTTTCGGGTGTAGGGTTTAGGGTTCAGGGTTTAGGGCTTACGGTTTAATCCAGTACCCTAGGGGAACTAATGGTTAACCTTTAAGATTTATACAGGGGTTGTAGCACCCCGGAAAGATTAAAAAGATACCTACTACTACTACTACTACTACTACTACTACTACTACAACAGTGCCGTACTATCACAAGGACCCAAAAAGGGACCATAATTTTGACAACCACCCAAGTAGCTCAGCACGCTGGATGTACCCAGCGATGCAAGTCGCTTCCGCTTCTTCGACGAAACCAGCCTCGGGTAGTGCTGGGAAGCCCTTGGCCCCAACATCTCTGTAGCCGCAGACCCTATTTAGGGTTTAGGGTTTAGGGTTTGGGGTTTAGGGTTTAGGGTTTAGGGTTTAAACCCTAAACCCTAAACCCTACATCTGTAGTCCCAGACCCAAGGCCCTGCAATCCTACGAAAAGACTTAGCACAAAACACCGTAGCCCTCAACCCTTCATGCTGCAATGTTAGGTTTCAGACGTAGATCGCTGTCTTGGTGTGTGCCAATGCTGGCCGATGAATCGACCCTACTTTTCGGATCATGGGACTTAGCAAGTCATATAATAAGTACCTTAATTTAAGATAGAAGCAGTTTAAAAAAAAAGAACTAGCGACCCCAACATAGCCCTAGTTACCAAGTCCCATGATCCCTTAAGTACGAAGGCCGAGCAGCTTTTCCAAGGGAAATGCGCGTCGAAGCGCCCCTGAGCTCCTACAAAGACCGCCCTCGGCAGCGCCAGGACAAGCCGACGGCCGAGAGACGAGGAAGTTGGCATCCCAGGCCGAGAAACTACCGAGTCCCAGTCCCAGGCAGCAAAGTCCGAGCATCGCCCGGCTGCGTGCCATGGCGATGGTCATAAGAGTTTAAGGTTTAGGGGATGGAGTGTTGAGGGTTTAGGGGAAACCAACCTGACTTGATGATGCTAGGAACACCATGCAATGGGAACAAAAACTTGCCCTGACGTTGGAAGGAAAAGGTAGGAGCAAAACTCTCGGATAGTTGTCATGGCAAGCATGGCAGGGACAGTAAAGCAGTAGAACGACCCCAAACCCTCAGCTTCTCCGAGCACCAGAGAAATGCAAGATGCACGCAAGAGGGGTCTATCAACCCTAAACCCGGAACCCCTAAAACCTAAACCCTAAACAGTAAACCGCTAAAACCTAAACAATAAAACCCTAAACCCCTAAACCCCTAAACTCCATCTACAACGACAGCAGCGAAACAACCCCCTCCGACGCGCGAACCCAAGAAGCTCCCTGCGTCAGAGGGCGGTAGGGGGATGGGGAATCGGTTTAGGGTTTAGGGTTTTGGGTTTAGTTTAGGGCTTAGGTTTAGGGTTTAGGGTTTAGGGTTTAGGGTTTGGGGTTTAGGGTTTGGGGTTTTGGGGTTGGGCTTCTCTATTTGCGGTGGGGAGGTATGCAGCTTTGAGTCCTGCACCCCAATTTAGAGTGGCCTTTTGGAGTTCACTTTGCTTCTTTGAGCCTCTTGAGCTGAAGCACGACGGAAGCATGTGTTACCTGTAGTCTCCATTGTAGCTCCTTTTTGGGGATACCTTATAAAATCCTTAATTTGTAATTAGTTAAACCAAAAAAGGAACTACGATGGAGACTACAGGTAGATGTACTGCGGTGGCGGGACTGGTACTTCGAGGTTCAGTTTCCAAACCCCGAAACCCCAAGTGCAAAGGCACTTCTGAGTATGTCTCTCATATCGTCAACAACGGAACTGTAAATATATATATATATACCTATAGTGGGAGAGATAGATAGAACTCTCTCTCTATATATATATATATATATAAATACATACACAAATATGTGTGTATATATATATATACACACAGCATGTGTATTTGTGTGTATATATATATATATATACATATGCGCTTTTATGTATTGATTTGTTTACTTACTTACTCATTTAAAGATTGAAGGCTTCAAGGCTGGAAGATCCGTCAAGCGCTTCCAACACTCCGATAGAAAGCCTCTGCGCTCACACGAACCACCTCAACCCTGCACCCTCACCTGCGACATGAACGCAGAACTTAGGGCTTAGGTTTAGGGTTTTAGGGTTTAGGGTTTAGGGCTTTAGGGTTTTAGGGTTTAGGGCCTAGGGTTTAGAGTTTAGGGCTTCAGAGTTTAAGGTTTAGGGCTTAACTCCATGAAAGTACGAGCACTAGCAAGAAAAGCACTGACCCGAACCCGAAGGCTGCTAAACCAAGTAGCCTCCTGAGACGCAAAGGTCAAAAGAATGGGCAAAACCCTGCATTAATATAGGAGCCTTAATAATTGCCTGTACCACTTTTGGGGGGGTTCCTTATTATAGTTATCGTATAATAGGCCCCAAAACCCTATTCTAATCATTACGGCCCTTAGACCCTAAACCCTTATAGTAGCCCTTATAGAACCCTTCAGGGAACCCTTTAAAGGAACCCCCAAATACCCAATTCTCATTAGTAAGGCTCCTACACTAATCATCCAGGCCCCTATGTTACCCTCTTGTAGTAGCCCTTATAGAACCTTTTAAAGAACCCTGAAAAAGAACCCCAAAACCCTATTCTAATTATTAAGGCCCCGGCCCCTATGTTACCCTACCTGGAGAGCGTCCGTAAGCCGTATTCACAAACAGATATAAGCCCGAGGAGCCTCTCAAACCATAATGCCGGCTTAGGGTTTAGGGTTTAGGGTTTGGGGTTTAGGGTTTAGGGTTTAGGGTTTAGGGTTTAGGGTTTAGGAAAGAACGAACGAGGCCTCGAAACCTCAGTTGGAGGATCACCGGCTGGCAAAAGCGCTGGAGTCCTCCCTTTGGGGAGCGGACCTGAGCTTTGACAGGTTTAGGGTTTTAAGGCTCAGGGTTTAGGGTTTAGGGGTTTAGGGGTTTAGGGGTTTAGGGTTTAGGGTTTAAGGCTCATGCAATGAACCCCTTTTCTGTGCAATCTAGGCACTCCCCATTTCGGAGGTGCACTGGTAGAAACAAACAGGTTTAGGGTATAGGGTTTCAGGCTCAGGGTATTACTGAGTTAGAGGACTCAAAATTCAGGGGCGCTAGGGTTGTAGGAGAAGTATGGGGGGATTATGTAGGGCTTATAGGCTATTGTAGGGCTTGGAAAGGCCGTGAAATATCGGGCTTCATTAGCTGGACTGAGAGTTCGGCGAGCACAACGACACTAGGCAGAATGATCAGCGGGGATGGCTCTACGGTTTGGGGCTTCGGGCTTGGGGTCAAAAGACGGGATCAGGCATGTTGATATCCAGGTTGAAGTCTCGGCATCCCTGGCCAGCGGCAGAATAAACATGCCCCTTGTTCAGGAACTTCCCAAAGGCCATAAGGAAACTATACAGTAGATGTTGCATATTGCCACAGGGGAACTCGAAAGCCCCAACTCTAAGCTCAAAGCCGAGGTTAAATGAGGACTTCGTATACAGGTCGAGTCACAGTATGTAATATGTATGTACACATACATACATACATACATACATACATACATACATACATACATACAATGAGTAATCATGAGCTGCCTGTGAGATGAGTCCCGGCCTCCTACCAGCGCAGTGTTGTAGGGTTTAGGGTTTAGGGTTCAGGGTTGTTGTAGGGTTCAGAGTTTAGGGTTCAGTGTTCAGGGCAAAGCAGTTAGTTAGGCAACATCTGTGCCGGAAGCTGTAGGTGGACTTGTGGTCACCATGCTGCCAGTCGACCAACATGCAGCCCACCACATTCGATGCCCCTAAACCCTAAACCCTCAACCGACCCGAAACCCTAAACCCTAAACCCTTTAAACATGCTACGCCGAAGCCAAAACCAAACCCAAGACATTCGAAACCTACAAACTGCATCCCACACTCAGAAAGAAAATCAATGAGCAGACATCGCGGTAAAAAAACACAAAACAGGCCTCTCAAGCCCTACACGAAAATGCAAACCCTAACTAACCTAAAGCCCTCCCTAAACGCTATACCCTTTAACCCCATAACCTTATAACTTATAACCCTAGAACCGTATAACCCTATAAGCTTATAACCCAACTCCGAGGCCCCCGCCAGCAAACTCGTTCCCGAAGCGAGCTCGGTCTGAAATTGCTCGAAAGATTTGAAATTCCCGGTGCCTAGCGGCGCTTCGCTGCGGTTTAGGGTTTAGGGTTTAGGGTTTAGGGTTGTTGGGGAGGGGCTGAAGGGAACGGGGTTTCGGGGAGAGTTTAGGGCTCAGGGCTCATACTTCTGTCGTTGGTGTGCTTGTGCTTGTTGCTTGCCTTACTTCCCCAAGAAGCCGGGGAAAAAAAGGTTAAACTTTCAGATTACTACTAAGTTACAAGATCCCGAAAGGTTTTAAGGTTGGGTATTGGAGAACTAAGTTGCTGGCTGTGGGATGTCAGGGCTGAGCCCAAACCCTTGCACAGAGACCCCAGAAGATAGCCGAAACCTGCAAACTCAAGCCCCACAAAAAGAGAGAGCAGGGTTTAGGGTTTAGGG